TATATAATAATAAATACATAAAAAAAAAAAAATAAACCATATAAAAAAAAAAAATAGAATTAAAAATTAAAAACATAAAAAAAATTAAAATATATAATAATACAAAAAAATATCTATATCTATAACTATATACTAAAAAAATGTATGTGTAATGATAACGTTTAGATTAACAATATAAATAATTAAATTGTGCAATGATAACATTTAGATTACCCATATATATTTAAAGAATTTGCTTAAAATTGTATAACTACAAATCTTTTAACCGTATAATAATAATAACTATTTATAGCAAGACGCGTAATTTCTATTTAATTTATTTGTGTTTATGCTTTGTTTGTCATGTAGCTATAAAGATCTATGATTTGTAATATTTAATTGATTTTATTCGTGTTATTTTTACTCACCTTTTTTAAACTTATATAAATTGTTAGTCAAATATTAAGAAAACCCCAAATAAAAAACTCATTCCTAATCTAAAAGTGTGAGTGTTATATATTTTTTAGTTTTAAAATTTGCTTATGAAAAGTCAGTGAGCATGCGTATTTTAATCTTGGTTATGCTGTTATTCGTCCAGAAAAGATCACTTTTATCAAAAAGGTCAAAGATATTCGTTATAATTGGACGTCTGAATTTCTTTTTTGAAAGGTAAAAAATTATTATTTTTCATATCATATAACATAATTTTGCAATAATAGAATGATTTTATCTTATTCTTATATATATTCATATACAATTTAATGACTTTATAGTTGATTTTTTATTCTATGAAATTGGTCTATACAGTTCCAAGTCATCCATGATATAAATCTCTGTGAGACACAGCATTGGGAAGAAGAAGCTTTGAATATTGGTAAATAATTTAATAAATAGTTCTCAATTTATAGATTATTTTACTTTATTTACTTTATAGTATAGAAAAGCAAATCGAAAAAACTAAAAGAATTATTGAAAACTGGAGGCAGAGCTTGAAGTGGAAGAGAAAATATGCAGAACAAGATTGAATCAGGGACGGGGAATACTTTTGCTATCAAATTGGAAATTTTTATCATACTAACATCAATTATTCCATTTCAAACAATAGAATTTCTGAAGATTACACAATAAATAGCGAGATTTGATTGGCTATAATTTATCATTTTATTCATTTTATTCTATTCTATTTTTAATAGAAGTATTTATATCCCTTCCTGGATTGAATATGATCAATTGGCATCGGAAATTAACGAACTTCAATCACGAGAAGAATCTATATAGAGATTACTATTAATATACCAACTGGAACACTTTCTATGGGTACTTTAGCTATAATTATATAGACAGTTAATGGCGTTGCACTGACGATATTGGGCTCTTTAAAAATACGTAATAAAGCGACAAATGAAGATACCATGATAGACGAAGCATTAGATCTCTCAAAATTAAGTAAACATTGAAAAGTCAATGTTTAGCCAGGACAGTATTTATTCGTTATTAATGATGGTAGTGGTGAAAAATTTTCGGTAACTTTAATATAAAATAAAAGCATTATGTTATTTAATTAGCGAAATTACAAAGTTGAACGAAGAAACTTCCTTAATAGAAGAAAAAGAATGGTTATTCGATAAAACTTTGAGTCATCATAGGGCCCAATTAGAACGAGTATTATCTGTTATACAAGATGTACAATCTCAAATACAAACCGAACAAGAACAAAATTGGCATATTCTTGGAGCAGATGAAGAGCCTGATGCAACACCTGAATCAATTTGAAGCGAATTCGCATCACCCATAGGTTCACCAATTCCTTATATACAAATGAATGGAACTGACAAGACTACTGTTGATGCTGTGAATAACATACAGAATCAACTACAAACTAATGGTAAGGGCAAATTTGAAATTACAATTCACGTTTTTTTAACAATTCGTATACTTTAAATTAACATACAAAAGCTACCCAAAAACAAAGAATTCTATTTTTTTATTATTTGGTATCAATATATTGCACAAAGGTTAAACAATTACATATTACAATTGATGAATGGGCTAATTGTATATTCCTTAATGAAGACGAGGAAAATGACGACATCGACTAAATCATATCAAGATAAACGCCATGAAGATATTAGTACTAAAGAAGAAAAGGGAGATCAAGTAGAATAAGCTCTCATGTGTAGAAGAAAATTACTCTATAGAAAGTGCTGAAGAAGAGATTATTCCATAAGTGATGAGGAAGATTATCACATTCTCAACAGGAACAGAAAGATGAATGTAATGATATTCCAATACTGGACGATGGTGAGATTGTCGAAGATGTGAAGAATGTTTTCATAAAGAAAAGGAAATGTGGTAATGATGAAAACGATGAGGAAGAACCATTGCACGAGAAACAATCAGATAAGTATAATTAAAATTTATCATTGAAAATAGTCTAAATTAATCAAGCGTGTTTATCATTAAGATGTATGTATAATTGATGAAGCTTATTATGTAAATATGACATTTTTATTAATAAAAAAGATTGAAATGAAAATGTCATTTAAATCAACAAACTTTTTACAACAAACCTCCTTTTTTTTTATACCTGTCTTGAAAATTTTACAATTAATTGAGTTTTCAAAAAGACCACACAAGTAATATTGCCATGAATCATTACGTTCAGCAACGAATTATTATTTTACTATGTTTTTATGGATGCTAAAAAAAACCGAGAGACTCAAAAAACAATATGGTTTGTTGTTTAATACTTCAGAAAAGGTAAAATCTGTATCCAAAGCTGAATCATCATTAGAAATTGTTTCTAAATTATTTGACACCTTTGACAAAAAAAAAATAAAATTAAAAAATTATTATTAAATTATTATGTTTCTAAATAAATATGCGAATAACACCTCTTTGTATTCAATAGCAGCTTTATTTGCAACTAATGGATTCATAAAAAATGGAGAGACGGAATATTGTTGTTGGAATAACATATTATAATTGGTGAAGGGCTGCTGAAGTTGATGCTTTACCAGAATATTTTCGATAATTCACAGCATTTAACCGTTGGTTTTGTTTTTTTATTTTTTGCTTTTTTATTTTTTATTTTTTTTATTTTTATTTTTGACAAATAATAAAAGAACCGCTCAAATACTGATTGCAATGTTTATTTCAATTGATTCTATTAAATGAGCACCATTATGATCACTAATTAATTGCATCGAAGATAATGCTTGAGAAAATTTCAATTACGTCATAAATTACATATTTGAATTCTCAATAAAAATTTTATATAATATAATTTTGCTTGAGTACTATTGCGATCACTTGCTAATCACTCTTGGTAACTCCAGAACTCACTTGAATTAAAAATCTACATCTGATCCATTGGATCTATTAAGTGAGGTGCTTGAGAATGGCCTCTATCTATCTTTAAGAAGTCACTATTATGCTAACTTCTCTAAAACCAGAAATGATTTTTAATGGTTGAGTTCTACAACCCTAATAAATCTTTTTATATGCTTCTTTTTTGTTTATTCTTCATAGTTTTATATTTTTTAAAGTACTTTAAACTGTATAAATAATGTAAAATTAAATTGAATTAAACTGCCAATTATACAAAGTATAAAACCGAATAACTTTATAATATAAATTGGATATCCGAATCCGGTATAATAAATTAATTAGGACTTTCTTTTTAAATTAGTATTGTGATAGCATGCATACTGAATATGATAGCATGTGCTTCGGATATAATTTATATTAATAATAATAAAATATATAGAACTAAAACTTCTATTAATAAAAGCAGCATAGCATTAATATACCTTTGTAAAAAAAAAAATTTTAGATAAATATTTTTTAAAGTAGATATCTATCCAATACTCATTTAAATATTTGAATCTAATTACTAAATAATAAGAATAAATCTTATTTTTAATTTTAAGTCTTGCCTTATAAGTTATAATATAATTAAAGCTTACTTAGATATTAAAATAGTTATTTATAATTTACTTATTCTTTAAAACTTTATATCTATATCATTTATAACAGATAATAATAATTTTTATATATTTATATCTTAGTTATAATATTATTTTGTGTTTATATTAACAACACCTATTTTTTTTTTTAAAAAAATTCGGCAGTCTTGCCTTTACTTTATTAGGCTTTGTAATAATTATTTAAACTATTAAAATTTTCTGGAGAGTTATTCTTTCCAGTATCTAAATTACAAATAAAGACTCACCCGGTTGCTCATTGAGTACCTATGTGCGACCTGCTATAGTAAGAAATGCCTCTGTATTACCTTATCCT